GGCGGACGAAGCTGTCCAGCTCCAAATGCAAATGGAACGCATGTCATATATGGATTCCCTTCCTAGTCGTCGTCATCTTGTCAAAGGGAGAAGCAAACGAGTGATATTGTGTTTCTACCTCCTTGTCATCCTTGCTGTTGCAGCACAGTATTGTGTGAATCTAATAGATTTCAGGTAGGATTGATATGAATATGTAGTTCGGATTTATATATAGAGAATATAGTTGATGTGTTGTGATGTCTTCCAACACGAAAAAAAATATATTGTCAGATCCTTTGGACCGGATGCCATTCTATCTTTTGCCCCGATGGAAATCTGGATTTACCCTCGAATCCTACCGGTAGTTACCGCATGATATCGGGGTGGAATTGACATGGATTTTACAGTACATCTCCTTTTGGTTTTTATTGTTGCAAAGCAAGTTGCCATTCAGCAGGGTAGTGATATTGTAATGTTTTTTCCTTGGATCCACTGAATCAAAGTTGTATGATCAGCAGATGTACATGTAATATTCAAAATTGTAGAACTGCCGTATTTGTAGGTACATTCTTGTTGTTGTTGAAACAACTTCGCGCCATTGTAGCAATCAAGGATGCAGCATGCAATGAGAATGACGTTGTTTCGCTTGGTTTGGTTCGGTTCGGTTTTTCATCGCGTACATTACTAGGTACTGTAGATATATCGGGCTTAATTTGTTGTGTGGTAGACAATATTCCAAACACAACAACGTCATGCGGGAGACACCAAGCGTATGGGTGTCGCGGACGATGATGGAATAGAAGTCGTTGATGTTGCAACAATATTGATTTTGGCTGAATTCTTGCATACATGCTTGAGTACAGGACCACGAGGTTTCTTCTTGGTACCATCGTTGGATCTTTTGGTAGTAGGTTTCATGATTGATTGAATGATTCATTGGTTGATTCATTCCTTCATTCATTGATTGGTTGATTTATTCCGCCGAGACCATGTAAAGTTCACAAACCAGCTTCAGTTCGACAGACGAATTCTTGAATTTTGTTGGACATGATCAATGATGGGTGCTACTGTAGTAGACATGTCTTTCAACAAAGGAAGAGCCACTTTGAAATTTTACAATCCTGTTTTCCACTGTACGATCCCATGTCGACGCATCGATGCTATGATCAACAGAACTCATCTCGTGGATCTTTTTCAAATCAAAACACGCCAGCCAGCTCTTCTTGTAGGGATCTACTGTACCGTACAGTATAAAATACTGGTGCAGGAAGTAAGCAATGTACACGTGTACCAGATTTTCTTTGCGGAGGAGAAAAAGCACAGTAATCAAGAACATGACCACGACAACGACAATACGACAAGAACCAAAACTTCTTTCCATGCGTTAGCTGCCTCTCCATTGGTACTGTAGTTGACTTTGGCGAATCTGCCGATGGATGAGGTTTGGGAGGAAAACTACCAGCAGTATTACTGTACAAGTTTTATTATATTATATTCGTTGCAAAAACAAGCAAATCACCAAGCGTCATCCCGCAATTTTGTTTGGCTCTCCATACAAATATATTGGTTGACAATGATAAACCAGCAGGGCATCACCGTCGAAATCAGGCATGGAAATCGGTTCCATTGCGAAAACTACAAGAATGAGTTATTTCAATTCTACTGCAGTGCGGATCCATAATGCAGCCAGATTCACTTTCATGTTGCGAAACCTTGTGATGTCATTGTCAAAACTATATCAACAACTTGAACATTTATGATTACCGGAAGGAGAGAGAGAGATAGAGAGAGAATGTGGTGGTCTCAGAGTCTGAATCGTCTGGATAAGATGACAATGGATATTAATATACTTCACTCCAGTGTTTTTGGCTGAGTGAGTCGACCAAGAAGCCGATACGAATCCCACCATGCGGCAAGAGATGCTTTGGAAATATGAATCTGGCGTCTTTGATCGACCAATCAAGAAGGAAAAAATTCTGCTTTCGAAACATGTAAAACTCCTGCCCAAAAATGTCCAGTGGGGGATGAAGCAGCACGAATGTTTGAAGCAAGGCCTTCCGAGATGTCAATTCATGGTCATTGCAAACATACATAGTATCCCTTGCACGTCTGCAGAGAATCAAGCTCTTGCATCCATTTGTTTCGACGAAAGGAGGGGATTGATTCCGACCAAATGAACAGGGATATACAAAAGTGCTCGGTTACCGCAGCCGTATATTGAATGGCATTGGAGATTCCAATGGTATCAAAATAAAAAGCTGTAATGACATTTCTTGCCAACAATAGGTAAAACGAACTTGACCAGGACTCTTTATTTTATATATATGAAACATTCTTTCTCGACAAGGTGAAATAGTCTGTATCTTGTAGGATTTTTCTATCATTTTTGAATCTCATGCCACAACTATTACATCCATCTATATCAATAATAATGCTTTTTTTATAAAATTAGACTCTTCATGAGTATCCCAACAATGGAAGCTCACTCTTTTTCTGCCAAACCTCATTCACAAATTTGTGCCCTTCTCCAAAGACCTTGACTCGAATCGCAAGAGCCTTGTCATAATACTTCACTGCTTCCTCAAGCAGTGATGGCCGAGTCTCCAATAATACGTCAGCCATGGTGATGTAGATCTTGGCGAGATTTTGGTGGTCCTCTCGTGCATTCTTCAACATAATCTCGACCGCCTTCTTCAAAAGATCCATAGCAGAGTCTTGGTCACCTCTCTGCGCCGAGTCTTTGGCCATGGAATTGTAGAGCATGGCAACTCTCCAATGATTTTTTCCAAGGGTATTGTGCAAAATAGCAAGCGCTTGTTGGAATTGTTTCCTTGCTTTGTCATGTTTCCCTTGATGTTGAAGAACGTCTCCAATCTTTTGATGTGTTAGACCAGTGTTGGCGTGGCTGGGTCCAAATGGTTTTGAAAATATGACGAGGGCCCTTTCATATTGTTCCATTGCGTCCTCGTATTTGCCTTGATATTCCAGAACGTTTCCAATGCAGTAGTACGTTACTGCCGTATTGGAATGGTCCGGTCCAAGTGCCTTCAATCCGATCTCAAGCGCCCTTTGGTATTGCTCCATTGCGGCCTCGTACTTGCCTTGATCTCTCAAGACGTTTCCAATCTCGTGATATGTTGATGCCGTCGAGGAATGGTCCGGTCCAAGTGCCTTCAATTTGATCTCAAGCGCCCTTTGGTATTGCTCCATTGCAGCCTCGTACTTGCCTTGATCTCTCAAGACGTTTCCAATACAGTGATATGTTATTGCCGTATCGGAATGGTCCGGTCCAAGTGCCTTCAATTTGATCTCAAGCGCCCTTTGGTATTGCTCCATTGCGTCCTCGTATTTTCCTTGATATTCCAGAACGTTTCCAATACAGTGATATGTTGATGCAGTTGAGGAATGGTCCGGTCCAAGTGCCTTCAATTTGATCTCAAGCGCCCTTTGGTATTGCTCCATTGCGTCCTCGTACTTGCCTTGATCTCGCAAGACGTTTCCAATACAGTGATATGTTATTGCCGTCCAGGAACGGCCCGGTCCAAGGGCCTTCAATTCGATCTCAAGCGCCCTTTGGTATTGCTCCATTGCCTCCTCGTACTTGCCTTGATTGCTCAAGACGTTTCCAATACAGTGATATGTTATTGCAGTTAAGGAATGGTCCGGTCCAAGTGCCTTCAATTTGATCTCAAGCGCCCTTTGGTATTGCTCCATTGCGGCCTCGTACTTGCCTTGATTGCTCAAGACGTTTCCAATACGGTGATATGTTGCTGCCGTCGAGGAATGGTCCGGTCCAAGTGCCTTCAATTGGATCTCAAGCGCCCTTTGGTATTGCTCCATTGCATCCTCGTACTTGCCTTGATCATTTAAGACGTTTCCAATACGGTGATATGTTGCTGCCGTCGAGGAATGGTCCGGTCCAAGTGCCTTCAATTTGATCTCAAGCGCCCTTTGGTATTGCTCCATTGCGTCCTCGTACTTGCCTTGATCTCTCAAGACGTTTCCAATACAGTGATATGTTGCTGCCATATCGGAATGGTCCGGTCCAAGTGCCTTCAATTTGATCTCAAGCCCCCTTTGGTATTGCTCCATTGCCTCCTTGTACTTGCCTTGATCATACAAGACGTTTCCAATGCTGTGATATGTTCTTGCCGTCGAGGAATGGTCCGGTCCAAGTGCCTTCAATTCGATCTCAAGCGCCCTTTGGTATTGCTCCATTGCCTCCTTGTACTTGCCTTGATTGCTCAAGACAACCCCTATATTAAGAAATGTAGATGCCATTCTCGGATGATGATCACATTGAAAGATTTTCTTTTCAATTTTCAACCTCTGTTCTAAAACTTCCATGGCTTCCTCAAGTCCACCTTCTTGAACAAGGTGCCTTGCAATATCGTTGTATTTCAAAGCCACATCTGGGTCCATCAAACCATGTTCCAAACCATTTTCGTGCAATTGTTGATCAAGTTCCTCCCATAGACGTCTTTTTTCTTGATCAAATTTCTGTTGTGCAATTTCGTTACAAGTCTTGGCCACGTCTGGGTCCATCCAGCCCTTTGCTTTTAATTGTCGATCTAGTTCATCGTTGAGACGTTTTTGTTCTTGATCAAATTTCTCTTTTACTGTCTTTGACGGTCGCAAATATGGCATTCCATTTGCTTCCATTCCAATCGAAAAGTCGTCAATTGTAGCACCTTGATGTCGTGAAGCTGGGTCTCCGTTGTGGGAGGGTCGATAATCTGGCCCTACGGAGCTTGCTTCAGAAATGATGTCATCCTGATTCTGCTCTTTTGTTGAAAGCTCACCAATGGTACTTGGTGGTTCATCAACGATTGGATCAAGTTTGCTTGGAGCACCGCCCCTCATACACGCGAAGGGATCTTGGTTATCAGGTAGATGGGACATATGTACGCCATCAGATGTGATTGTAGTGTCATCACAAGCTTGATTGCGAGGATCCAGTTCGAGATCGAAACCTGACATATCCGAAGAACAAAGAAATGAAGTCTCATAAGTTGAAACCGAGATCCAGTTGAGACTTTGCAACTTTTATTTTTGACGTACCCGCTTCAATCATTGTGTTCTTTTCTTTCAGCTTGTCTAGCGCGTCTCCTTTTTGTTTCTCTTTTCTTTGAAAGAAAAATGAAATCAGAATTTATTACCCGTGGATGACGATGATGCGATGATTTGAACGTCATTTTCTTCCTACTTTCTACCGGTTCACGTGTACGTGATACCGTTCCTGCTGCAGTACCAGGGTACACGGATTTGACAGAAATATATTTCTGCACCAAGAGGTAACAGACATTGGCACGATGGTCATGGTGGCAAAACGCAATGTTTTGTAGTAGCCGGCAACAAAGTGCTCTGGGACGAAGGCTATTGTTCGGCAAAAGGTATACTGTACTGTCGAAGCTATTGTTCGATGAGAGCTCGCGCAGACTCTTTTGTTTATCTATCATGAACTCGGCCGAGCAAGAAGCTGGAGGAGCAGGAGTACAGTAGCAGCGCGACCCAGTCGCAACACTTTCGAATTGGACAATCAAACCCAAGAGACTATCAAGGTGGTAAAGGACTCCCTGTCGCAACAACAGGAGAAACCTTCGAAATTTCCCAGACACAATGGAGGACGAGAAAACGAAATTCATTTACGGTGATCATTCACTTGCGTGTTCTTTCCTTCCAGATTGAACACGACATGCAAGAAATAAAAATTGAGAAGATCCTAAGAATGGAACGCAAGGAGGGAGCCAAGAATGACAGAGACGGACAATTCGAGAACTGCAAAATCAAGAAGGCAGCCACTACGAGTGCGGCGGACGTCAAGAATGTCAGTTTGACTATGTAACTCGACAAGGAAGTTGGGGCCATATCCCCAATATAAGTTTCGCTACGATTGCAGTATATTGCAAGGGCAATAATCTAGCAGCGGGAGTCATAGCGTCTTGACAAATAAGTTTATAGTCAAAATTCCTCAATCTACCACTGCCTCCAATTCCTTCACGGTGCAACTTGAAAGCTCGTTCTACTTGATCCATATCTGAAGACATCTTTTCCGCATAGTCTCTGCCGACTAATCGACTCTGGCTTCAAACTCTTTCCGCTTGCCTGCAATGGATCGGTAGTTTGTCTCCATGCCCATGATAAGCATTGTCACCTTCAACCACTGCCAATTGCAACAGGCCAGTCCAAGTTTCGGTGGCGCAAAGGCTACTTCAATCCGATATTCTCCCCATTCCATATATGCACCTTGGCCGTCGAAACTATCAGGACCGTTATTTTGCCCGCAGCATAAAGCCGTTCCAAAAGCATTACTCTGGACATGTCGTCATTCGTCAGTCTGATGTTTCTTCCGTCTTTGTTTGAATCGCAAAGTATTCATGCCTTCCACCCATTCGTTTCGTCTTTGGTTGGAGCATCTTCTCCCAGACGTCCTTGGCAATTTCTTCGTCCTTGTCTTGCAAGTGATCTTGTTCTAGGGACTTTCGGAGTGGAGCTTTGGTCAAACCACCTCGGACCAGATCATAAATCTGAGCCGCTGCTTGAATATTCTCATCATCGTTACCACTGTCACTATTATCATTATCATTGTCCTCATCATCGTCATATTGAGTGACTTGATCAATCATGTGCAGCATATTGGCAAGATCTTGTCCCAAGGATTCTTGATCCTTTGGACCCATGGCCTTGAAATCAATGAGCGCCAATTTGGACAGTCGATCAAGTTCTTCCTCCGGAAGCGGTGGACGTTTCGCAGTCAAATCCAGATCCCGTATCGACCAGGTCGGTTTGGGAATTTGGAAATCGTTCGAGTCGTGGTCAATACTGCTGCTGTTGCCATTGCTACTATGATTGCGGGCAATTGGATTCGTTTGAGAGTTGTTATTCTGGCGACAAATCCTTTCTGGTTCGAGTTGGCGATGACCACTATTCCATGCTGATGCTAGGAGTGAGTGGCAACGAACATGTCGTATTGGTTTAGTGATGATTGATGAACCGATCATGTTGCAAACTAACATCGCAATCATTGCAATGATGAGGACGATGACGCACATTGAACATAACGAAATGATTTTGGCGCTTTTCGTACACGTACACGTACCGGTACCGTATGGCGGAAAGACAGTATGCCCCCTTTTACCCCCCTTTACCAATACGTCCCCTCATCAACGCAGAGCCATTTTCAAAAGTTCTTCCACGCACGTACAGTATCTTATTCTTCTCACTTGTGAGTTACACGATCCACTCTTCTGACCCGGCATCATACTGTGCTGTAACTGTAACGGCACAACCCAACGAATGAGTGAAGCCACATTAAGCGAATTCATCACACCATCAGTCGCAATCGCAGTGTTGGGCATTATTGTATCGTCATCATTCTTCTTCAAACCCACTTCAGCCATGACAATTATTAAGCATTCGCAACGAACCGTCTTTGGATCCAAGGTTACCATCGAGATTGATGATGACTGCTTTCCTACGGACAAAGAAATCGAAACCATGGAAGTGAACCTTCCAGGATGCCAGCACGATTACTTTGAATCGAAATCCCATGGCGGTGCCAAGTTGCATTACCGATACTGGCTACCACCAAAGGGAAATGTCAAGGGAGTTGCCGTGTTCTTTCATGGCATCAATTCGCATTCGGGACGTGGATTTGTCGTCGATGGACGCAAACTTTCGTTTTCACTCATGACCGAGCAATTTCTGAACCAAGGGATCGCCCTTTACTTGATGGACCAGTACGGTCATGGGTTTTCAGAAGGATCTCGCTTCTTGATCAAGAAATGGGAAATGAACAAGCAAGATTGCATTGATTTTGCCAACTTTATCGCTGAAAAGTATAGTGCTGATTCGAAGAAGAAGGCTCCTCCCCTCTTTATCGCGGGAGAATCCTTTGGAGGATGCATGGCCATTCACACATCCAAGTACTGTCAAGATACTGCCGATACTTCCCCCGCTGGAAAGTTGTTTGATTCCATGCTCTTGACGGCACCAGCCATTCATGCGGATCTTCCAGGTTTTCCAGTCTATCAAATTCTGCGTTATATTATTGCACCTCTCATGCCCACGAAACGGCCGTTCTTTATGCCACATCCCATTCCGGTGAGTAAACCACGTATAGTGCAACAGGTCGCATTGGACTTTTTGTCATCGTGACAATGAGGATGAAGAATGGAAAAAGGAATGAATCATAATCATCATCTCATCCCTTTTCCAATGTTGTGTGTAAAACGTAGCCCGAACGTATCTGGAGAGACCAGCGAGCCATGGAATTCTTTACCTCTCCTCAAAACGAAAAATGGGGGTTGGAAGAAGCTGGCAAAAAGCTTCGGCTAGGAACTGCATTGGGATGCGTCGTGGCCATGGAGAATGCCTGCAATCACGTCATTCCCGAATTCTCAGTTCCCTTTTGCATCATTCATGGGACTCAGGATGACGGGGTTCCCATTGCCGGATCGGAATTCATGATGGAAACATGTCAAACACTAGAAGAGGACAAGGAACTCCACGCTATGGACGGAGCGAGGCACGAAGTCTTTTGTGATCCATTGGCGGAAGAAGCCATTGGGCATTGGATGAAGTTTCTAAAGAAACGATTGGACAAACAAAGCTAAAAGAACAAGTTCGAAATCACGGGATGAAGAAACCAATCTGGCGCAAGGTACGAGCGAATGTTGTCGAATAGATCAGAAGGAAGGCTTCATAGTACTAGAACGGTATTTTAAAATACACGTGTACACAAATATAACGGATTGGATACCGGTAGAAATATATTTCAAAACATAAAATTATGCCACGATGATGACGATCATAAAACGGAATGCTTACAGTTGTGTCCAAAAGACACGACAACTGAATCGACTTCTTGCAGCTACTCATACTTCTACAGTCAACATCAAACCATATTGAAGACCATGAGCAATAATAACATGAATGGCATCGCTGAAACCGTTGACGAATCGTTGATTAGTCCAAACGATGTACTGTCCCAAAAGGGCAAAGGGAGACGTGAAGGAAACCGCATCCTTCGGGAAACGATTGAAGCAAGGTATGATGAGTTCCATGCTTCTACCTTACAGAGAAAGAAAGAAATTGTTGACGAAATCGTATTGGGCGTGCAAGGCAGATTCTTGGGTTGGGACAAGGAACATCGACGGTACTTTGTACTGACCAACGAGGACGCGGTGACAATTGTAAGAAAGCAATTTCACAATTTGAAATACAAGCTACAGTGACAGACTCAACAAGAATCCAACAAAGATACCAACCAAGATCCTAACCAAGATCCTAACCAAGATACCAACCAAGAACCCAGTATCCCCGAAGCTGCTGCTGCCGTACTATCACTTGAGGCAAAACCACCAAATGGAAACGAGGTTGAATTAACTTCTGGAATGGGATCAATGTCGTTGGATAGTGATCTACGTCGAATTGTGGCTCAGCTTTCTGTTGATATGTTTGAAGATGAGGACACGGCAAGAGGTGTGCTGTTGAATCTGTTGTTCGATGAGGGAGGCGAACAACTCGCGCAAACTCTTCTATCCATGATGAACTCGGCCGGCCACAAAGCCCCACCTACAGCAGCGAGACCTAGTTGCAGTCCTTTAGAATTGGGCGGTCAAGACCAAGAGACTATTAAGGCGGGAAAGGAGGCCCTGTTGCAACAACAAAGACCTTCGAAATCTCCCAGACACAATGCT